CTAGCAGACGTGACACGACTAGCAATCATGGGGTCCATAAGGTCCATAACTCATAAGTCTGATGACGGATCAGCAGGAGAATGCGATTGCCCAAGACTTCGCTTACACCCGTGCTGATGCCCGCATGGTTGATGTTATAAATCCTGCATGACATGAAGGACCCTAAACTCTGGGAATTTCGGTACGCACATTCCTTATAATGAGTAATGCAGGGTTTATATATTATCAACCTTATGGCCGATAGATGCAGATGCCCTGAGCAAAAGCCCAGGAGACCCAAGCCTCAGACCTGCCACGGTTCTGCTTTCATTTCTGAGGGTATCCCCTGAAAAGTAGTCCCCTGCGTGTGCTACCTGCTCTCGTTAATATCCCGCTAAAATAATCCCTATATGTGGTTCTGTTTTGAAGTATAGCGCCCTAAGCCAGCCTAAGCCCTGCTGCTTATAGCAAAGCCCCTTGAGTTTGCCATGAGCCAGCTTCGTTCTGAACCATAGGTTTTCGTGTTATGTGGGGGTTTACGCTAAGGGGTTGAGCCTTGCAGTCTTGATGCTTGGTGGTTTTAGTCGCGCTTCTTTGTATGGAAATCTCACAGATTCGCCATACAACATGGGCTCACGTGATGATTCCCATCCACAGGCCTGTTTGTCACCTCACAAACGTACTTCTATTCCAGGCGTGATCACCCACGATTGGTTACTCAGCTGCTCTCTGAAGCCTGAACCCTAAGCCTTCGCCACCGCCTGAGTCGCAAAGCTTTCATAAAGCAGGATTTGGTATCAGGGTGCAAAGCCCCTGCACCCAAACCCCTGAGCTTCAAGGACTCCTGCCCCCTAGACCCCCCTTCAAAACAAGAGTTCAAGCTTGATAGCACCGTTTAACCCCTGCACCAAACCTTTTCTGCCGGTGCCAAGTTAAGCTCAAGCCTTAAAGCTTATATGCCTCATGAGCCAAACCCCTAAACATAGACACAAAGTTCTGAGCCCTATAAACCGTAAAGCATACAAGCCTGCCCTAGTCCCTGAACCTCTTCTACGTCCAATCCTGCCCTAGCCCCTAAACCTCTTGTAGGTGCAATCCATGGAGCGACTCTTCGATGAGCCCGAGGGTCCTTGGAGCCTGCATCTGCCAGGGCTGTGTCTTCTCAGGACCCATACTAATCGCTCTTTAGGGTCCGGGTAGGTTCGGGTAAGGGCTCCGTAAGGATATCTATCCAAAGGGCTGAAGCGCCAATCTGGGAGATATGCTGGCCGCCACAGCGACCGTTGAAAGATATGCTATGGTATGCTCGGGCACACGTATGAGAGTGTGGTCGAGACGTCCAGCAACTTACCTCGCCCCCACGAGTGAAAGTGTTCTACTGAATCATAGCCATACCTACCCGCCAGGCTACAGAGTCATAAGTTGCACATTATGGAGCCCAGAGACCTTGCATTCGAGGTTTTGGGTGTTTGAGCCAATTTTTTTGGATCTGATGGTGAGCAAGAAATAACCCACCGTTCTGGTCCCTCAATATCAGCTTCTTCAGGCATGCTTATTGTACTATCTTTCCTAATTTTTAAGTCCCTGTCTTGAGAAGTATAGACACATCTTACTCAAACACCTGCAAGCAATTACAACGCCGCATACTCTAAATTCAATCGGCACCTAAACCTTACATCCTTTAAACCCCATGCAATGTACACATTCAATGAGAGACCCCTAAACCCTAAACCTTGCCCTTGTCTAGGAAAAGTCCTCCATGCTCCATTGAGGCTTTCGGCCCATCGCGGTGCGCGCTGCCAGCCGGTCAGGACTTGTTTGAGGGCCTTCATGGGCTTCCGATAGCAGTAGGTCAGCAGGTATCTATAGGATCAGATTTCAGTATATTCCCAACAAAAGACGTGTTCACATCAAGTAGTTGCAGTTGACGGAGGGGATTCGGCAAGCAGGGTACTGACATCGACAGGCTTTGCTACACCTCGATGAGCAGAGTTCTCCTTTGGAAGGTATCGATGCGCTCGGTTTGGGGCTTTGAGGGGCTTAGGAAGTTTGAGGATTCAGGCTTCAGGGTGGGTTCAGGCTGTCATGGGGAGGGTGAAGATGAAGAGCAAATATAGACAGAAGTAGGAACACTTGCGTATGGTGCTTATGCCTTAAACTGCCGAAACTTGCGCCGGATTAACAGCTTTCTTGCCGTTTGCGTCCATTGTGGGCTGGTTTACGGCTTAGGATTCAGGGTTTCGTGTCCAGGGTTCGGTCTCGGCCCAGTAGCGCACTACCCCACTCGCCTCCATTCCGCAGTAAGTCCGAAGCCCAAGTGCAATGAGTCGATGCGTGCAGCAGGTCTTGAAATCGGATTGAAGACTTCGGGCCGGCTCGTAGTGTTGAGGCAGCGAGAGCTGAGAAAAGTCCATGGTCTTTCTGGTGTTGTTTTCCCCAAAAATGTGTGTTCCTCCCTGCTAGGAGATGATCCTGGCGGCTGCTCTTCCACGCATTCAGACTTCGCTTTTTGGATATGGGGCTTGGGGACTGGGGCTTGGGGAAATATTGAAATTCCATACGTAAGGGGACATAGATGAAGTCAGATATGGGGACCTGATGAAATCCAGGGTTGTGCTCTAGTTCTTCTTCTACAGGGCTTTTTGTTATCTGTGCAGGTTCCACAACGGGTTTTGAAGGGTTCTATGAAACTAATCGGGTTTCCACAAGGATTAAAGTGAATAGATATGCACATGCATGATCATGCGTGCATGTGGTGTATTTGAGCAAATAGTATGTTCTTGTCACTGTGCACTGTTCGAACTGTCTTGATAGCCATGTTTATCTTGATCTGCTACAATCACTCACTCGTCACCTAGGCTTGGGATCTAAAAGTCTTGAATGCTTGGACTACACAACTTTCTGCTTGGACTCGACTTTGGACCTAAAATGCACTACTCAGGTCAACAGTTCAATAGTATAGTCGGGATGTCTTACAAGAAAGTACACACCTTCGTTCGCTGCTTGCGGCCTGAATAGACCAGGATGTTCGGGACAAACTGTGCCACACCGAATCTGGCGGTTGCAGTGGTAGTCGACGTCGCCGCCGTAGCAGTAGCAATGGCAGTGACAGTGCCAATAGCCGTAGAAGTAGCAGTAGCAGTAGCAGTAGCAGCACTAAGTCACTAAGAGTAGGAGTAGCAGTAGCAGCACCAGGAGCAGAAGAAGCAGCAGTAGCGGTAGCAGCGGCTGTATCAGCAGCAGTAGCAGTAGCTGCAGCAGTAGAAAAGTGCAAGTGATGGTTGGGATCAGGATGAGCAGCATATTACACAGCACCAGGTGCAGGAGAGGCAGTTGCGTAAGGACTGGAATGCTATGGGAAGGAATCTTTTTAACTGCCCATCCGACGATGTGCGACCACAGCTGATCATGTGATCTTACGACGCAGTTGGGCCCAATACTGTGCATATGCAGCAGTTTGCTAAACATTCGTGAAAGAGAACAAAGCCACACAGATCTAAGAATACATGTATGCCGACACACAAAAGCTTTCAGACTCAACCCAGGAACCAACCCTAAAACGTATTCCTGCAAGCCCTAAACAAAGCCCACCCTAAACCCCGACCCAGCAAAAACCCGAACGCCGAACGCCGTTCAGTTGCCCAACGCCAGGAGCCGGGACCGCCAGACACCATAATGTAGGAACCTGATTAAGAAACCCTGGCCCTATAACCCCCAATATACAGTAGTAGGATTCATTTAAGGACCCCCAAGTAAAGGCCCAGGGTTTCTTAATCAGGTTCCTACACTGGTATGCCTTAGGCTTCCTTAACAGTCGTTGACCACCCAAACCGGATTCTTAGCTAGATGTTTCCCCGAATATCCGCTTTGCTGCCTGTTTGAACCCCGAGGGTTTAGATTGGCATGTCAGGCACACTTCCTGGAGCCTAGGCCTAACCCCAAGCCCGAAAGCTGAAATCCTGGGCCTCCCAAAACCTTTCACCCGGAACCCATCAGCCCTAACGTTCTAAAGCTTAAACACTAAGTCTCAAATCCCTCACACCACTTCTGGACCATGGCGGCACCAAAGCGACGTTGGGGTGGAGTCCAGCGACGGTGGGGGTGCCACGGCAGGACGGTATGGTTATATAAGGGTTTGGGGGATTATGTTTCAAGTTGTTTTCAACATACTTTCCTTTGTTTCTGATTCCAACACCAGCTGGCGACTTCATACCGCTACCGAGCACTTAAAAGTTCCGTTCTTTGGCTGATACTGCAAAGTCCTGCTCTTTTCTCGCCCTACATTGCAGCAGGAGGACCGCCTTACAAAGAATCATGAGTACGTAAACGGCAGGGAGACGGCCCTGAACGTGAGGACCCCCAATTGGGACCCTCCTGTTCTAGGGAAAACCAGAAACTCTTGCACAAAACACCCATGGAGAAGCTGTTTTCAGTCGTATAGAATCTTTACAAGAACCTGTATTGAGCCCGGATAAGACTTGTATGGAACCCTGGCAGAGGACCTGATCAAACTTGAGACTACTTGAAGCCCGTCCAAGCCCCCGAGCCTCACGAGAGGGTCGATGTACAAGTGTTTCCGTCGTGAAGTCTCTGCGGGGAAAGTATATGTCATATTTGGCGAAGCCCAGTTTGGATACTTGTAGCTCTGCTTTCTAAGCCCCATGAGCACTTGCAGTAATCGTTAGAAGTCCCCGCGCCAGCCCTTTGTTCAGCCCCGACAGGATTGGTTTTTCTGAAGAGTTGACACACCCATGGGAAAACGAACCGCTTGAAGATTCGAAACACAGTACAAGACAAGCCCAATCGAAATACTTGGAGCCTTATGACAAACTTGCTTACAATCCTGCAAACACCGGACCAAGCCAGTTCCAGCCGTCTCCTCCTTCCCACAAACAGACCCATAGACCCTCAACCGTAGAACTGCCTGCCTGATCGTGCGAGACGGATACGGGTCGCTCAGCAACAAAGACCTTGAACCGCCCATCCCAAGTTCGAGGCAGCATCGACCTGCAGACGAGGAGATGGAGCCTCAGGAGACTTAGGGTTGCTTGTATTCAGGATAGTAGTAGTAGCAGTAGCAGTAGCAGTAGCAGTAGCAGTAGCAGTAGCAGTAGCAGTAGCAGTAGCAGTAGCAGTAGCAGTAGCAGTAGCAGTAGCAGTAGCAGTAGCAGTAGCAGTAGCAGTAGCAGTAGCAGTAGTAGTAGTAGTAGTAGTAGTAGTAGTAGTAGTAGTAGTAGTAGTAGTAGTAGTTGTTGTTGTTGTTGTTGTTGTTGTTGTTGTTGTTGTTGTTGTTGTTGTTGTTGTTGTTGTTGTTGTTGTTGTTGTTGTTGTTGATCAATATCATTATTATTGTTAGTAGTAGTGTATCATGATATTATAGTTTCTTGAATTGTGGTAGCCGCGTTACTGCTATCCCTACTATTTTGCCTATGGTCATTACTCGAGAGTTCGTAGGCAGTTGTAGGATACGCTTACTCTAAGCTTCATAACCCCTTGGACCCCACTTAGAGTACTTACATGTCTACCCACTACCGACTTACTAAGTTCCCCGCCCTCCAGGTAGTAGTACCAATTTCAGGAGGCGGCAGAAGCCGAAGCAGATGCAGTCAAAGCCCCAGCTGATGCGGTGAACCAGGCACAGCTCGAGGCGTCCACTTTGAGCTGGGCAGAAAAGTGTTAGTCGGGTTTGGGGTTTAGGCTTTGGGGTTGGTTCCATATTATGGTCCAAATCCTAAACCCGACATGCCAAGAGCCCCCAAATCCCTAAACCCTAAGTTTCAATAACTCTTCCTAACCCCACAATGACAAACATGCAGCAGGCAGACTCCACGCTGCTAACCGGTGATCTCCCAGGCATAGGGCTCGAATCGTGCGTTACGAGGTTTTATCCGGCTTTTTTTGGCTTTAGCATAGTTCCTTTACAATACAGTATTCACTGGCGTCCCTTGTTCCTCTACATATTACGAGATGTATCGGGGTTCTACATGAGGCCTTGAATTGGGTCCCGGACTCCCAGACCCTCCAGTGGTCAGTAGTACCTGTTGCCGCAGTAACTGAATAGCTGAATAGAAGGAGATTGATGTCCTGTTTCCTTGCCATTATGAGGGTTTGAGGAGGGTTCAGGCGTTGAGGCTTGTGATCTTTGGCGAGTTAGAGGTTAGGATCCTGGTTTTGGTTTTGGATGGTGCTTAATTTAGCTGCTTGGAGGGGTTGAGGGTGTATATAGGGTGCTATTATGGGGCCCCCCCCCAGTGACCTTCTACCCTTTTGTTGTGCGGGGGGGGGGGGGTCGCCTTTTTCGACTGAAGACTAGCTATAGGAACAGGCGACACATGACGAGGACACTTGGGAACTGATGGTTCGAGCGTAGGGATGCGGGTTCTGCACGGGTTTTCTGAAGGGTTCCGCGAGTGTCTTTAGGGACTAGCTTCAAATTAAGCTGTGTTTGGGCGGTTTAGGCATGCAGGGCTGAATCTGACGTGTTACAGTGCGGTGGTCAAAAGTTGGACTTCTCGGCTCGAGGTCTTGAGTTTGGGGTCTTTCTTGGACATGCCCGCCCTCAGAATTTGGTGTGGTTTAGTCACTTCGTAGGGGCGGCCCGGTTCGCCTTAGGGGTGTCAGTACCCAGGATCCATGAGCCTTTCGACTGTCTTTGTCAACTTCCCTTCGAGCGTTTGTGGCTTCAGGAGCTATAGCCGTGTTTGCTGTTTGAGTCATCGAGTTTGAGGGTGCGAGGATTTTGCTGTGTAGCCGAGTGGGGTGTTCAAGTCGATGTGTTGAGCGGGTTTGAAGTTGTGTCAGGCTTTGCCATGAATGGCCAAGTGTTGATAAGACAGCATTCTAGACCTATATGGAACCCCACACCCTAAAAACCCCAAGCCCTAAACCACAGCATTGCATACCAAAAGCTCGTTATTAAAGACGAGCGGCCCGTACCCTTTAAGGGGTCCCCCTGATATTATACTACCTAAACAAAGTAAATCCAGGAAGCCTGTAGAGCCCCTCTTAAATTGAAGGAACACGTGAACCGAAAGCCCTATAAATCCAAAACCTATGACGCCACTTTATTTATGACAGCCCTCAATTCCCTTACCCCTAAACGCTGCCCGTTAAGAGATCTTGAGCAGCACCTTGTAAATTAAGTAGGACCTTGTAGACAGCCAAAAAAAACCACAAACAGAACCTACAAGCCCTAAATCTAAACTGCTGTAGCCCTCTGTAGAGCCCAAGCTCACTCTGCAGGTACGGCAGCTGCGCGCGCGACGCGCCGCGGTGGTGCCGCTGCTGCTCGGGCGCTTGGCGCCCGCTTCGCCACAGAGTTCCCGGGTCCCCCTTTAGGCGCTTCTTTTGCACCGGCTTTGGATGGATCTTAGGGTTCCAGGCTTGTAGGCTTCTGCAGAGTATTGTATGGGTTACAAGGATCTTGGGGCTTAGGGCTTGTTGGTGAATTTTGTCGTGATGTTCTGACAAGACTCTGAATAGTTCGGTGAGGTGTAGGTATGTTTACCGTCAAGAAGAGGTACGCATCTTGGAAGTTATGGAACTCAAGCCTAAAACCTGCTATTATCGACCCCGAAGCTCCCAACTGCAACACCCCTAAAACCTGAAAGTACCACGAAGCCATAATATAAGTGAGCGCCAGTATTTGCATGGAGGAGCTTTCTTCTTCATGCGATACTGGGTAAAGAGTAAATATAAGGCGAACACGAGAGAAGTCAAGGCTCTTCAATCCCCGGAGCGCTATGGCCCCGATCTCCCATCAGACCAAGGCGCTCGGGATCTCCAAACTACTTTCACTATCCCACTCCTCCATAGTATAGGAAACAAGGTATGGGTTGGAGTTTAGGATGACGGACATCGTTGGGCTCGAGGTTGGAGGTTTGTTTAGTTTTGGTCAGTGTTGTGTGTGCACCTGTGTTTCGTGTGTCTGCCTGGCCGGGCTGCTTGCCTCCGACACCCGTACTTGGAGGACCATGGGACTTAGTAAGTAAGGTTATAGGTACCCTAACTGGGGTTATAAGTACTTATAAGTCTAGTTACCTTACTTACAACCGTAGTTACTAAGTCCCATGATCTTCTAAGTAAAGTGTGTAATCAAGACCGAAGCCGCCGGAACCCGTAATGCCTGTAACCCGACACCCTAAGCCCGAAACCGGTAGACATTGCAAGCCCCAAATCCCCAAAGCCTAGACCCGAAAGCGCCACCTGCACCTATAAGCCCTATAAGCCCTAAACTCGAATGCCGTAAGCCTTGTAAGACCGAAACCCGAAACCCGATAAGCCCTAAATAATTCCTTTAATGGTTCTTTATGGGTTCATTTGAGTATTACGGTTCCTACAAATTCCAGGTCCTGCTCTACTTTAAGTATACCGGGGTCCTTGACGGCATATGACTTCTTTCAGGATCGCCAGAAAGCTTCCTCTGAAAGGTAAGGAGGTCCTAAGCTCAGCATTGTATAATTGTATCGTATAGGTGCTAAGGAGTTAGAGAATTATAGGGATTGGTGTTAGGGCTTCCAGGACTCTAGGGTTCGTGGGTTTAGGACTTAGCGGGATCGAAGTTGCGGGTCAATTGTCATGCTTTCGGTACGGATTCTGCCTTTTTCCTGTATGTAGGGCTTGGCGGATGCACCGAGGGTGGTCGACTTTCTTATAAACTTCTGTTCGTACTGCGAAATCTTCAACCATTAACAGTTCCTAAACAGTTCCGAAAGTCCGAGGTTGAGCGCCGAAACAGTTCCGAAAGCCAGCTTGCTGACAACTAAAGCCTTCACAGGTGTAGCTTGGCACCCAAAGCCGCAATCCCAATCGCCAAGCCCATCAGCCCAAACCGAAACCCTTAGATCCACACTCCAAGCCGAGACACCCATCGTCCTTGCTAGGTAGGAGGGAAAACACTCCAAGCCAATTGCATCGTGCTTGTCAAAGATCGCTTGCAACGTAAGGGTGACCTCGCTCTGATGCTCGGGGAGACGACGGTCATGCAGACCACGCCCAAGCTTCCTGACTCTACACAGTACGGTGATGCAAGATCGAGGCCCAAGTAATTAGACTAGAGCTTGGGAGGTTCCACAGCAGACTCACTAACTTTATCTAGCAACTCTCTCCGCACATGTATATATATATATATATATACATACATTATACATAAATACATATTATATATATATATATATATATACACATACGTATATAGATATATACAAACCTACAGCTGTAGATGGAATCCTGTGGGTCACATTGCTCATGACTAAAGCTACTGATGCCCTTACACTAGCTATTCCATGGGATTCCATGGGGCTGTCAGGGATGGATCGAAGCTTCAGGGTTTCGCTGTTCTCAAGGCACGGCTTCTGTCAGAGACGTCATCTGGTCTTAGAAGGCTTTATAGGTTTTACCCGGGCGTTATAGGGCTTCACAGGCTTCCATCAGGGCCTCATAGGGAGGGCACCTGTACCAACTTCAGACTTCCAGGACATGTGCTTTGTATATCTGCTTCTTTGTTTGTCGCACATTCTCAAGAATAGACTGTGGAGAAACTGCCCTGAACAGTCCCCAGCGTTTAGTTCTGAGTCCACTGCCTGCTCATGATTTCAGGCTGCGTCGTGACTTCCAGGAGGTCGCTGATGGTGGCGCTGTGCCTCCTAGCCGCATTGGAATCTGAGCTTAGGGGTTGAGGCTGTGCGTGCGGATCTCATGGTCCATTACACCAACGACTGAGGACTGAAACCTAAAGCCAGAAGCCCCAAACTGGCCTTCAAATAAAGCTAAAGCCCGAAGGACCTAAAATCCGAGACTCCGTGGCGATTCGCGTAGTCGTAGCAGTCGTAAAAACCGTAGAAGTATAGAGGTAGAACTAGAGGTAGAATGGTCGTCGTCTGACTCGTTTGGAGGATTCAATCGAACTTGTGACAGCAGTCTCGCCGTCGTCCTAGTCTTATCGTCTTGAGGCTTCGCCCCGGACGGCCTCTACACCATGTGTCTGGTATTCCCTTCTCCCGGAGCCCTTAGGCATGTTTCCTGCATGAACCTTAACCCATGCATCTTCACGAGGTATTGGCCAGGATGCCTCTGCGCTGCTGCAGACCACAGCCTCTTCGAAAAGCTGTACGAGGATCGAAGAAAGCTTTTGTGAAGCAGAATGACGAAAAGGTTCCTCGTTGAGGGAGCTTGTGATTTAAAGTCTGACTTCGGGCCCGTAGTCTAGGATCTGATGAAGGTGCTTGTCTCATTGCCGCAACTATTTGCAACCCTATCTTGTCGGGTTTACTTCACTCAAAACGTCAACGCGGACCTTGTGCAATTATTGCTTCGAGATCTAGCTTGTTGTGCACAGGTTTTGATCAGAGGATATTGTCTCCGTTCTTTCTGGTAGTATCACGAGAGTGGGCCCGCCTTTGTGTGAGGGTTCAAAGAGTACCTGTGGCACCAAGCCCTACAACACCCTAGAGTAAAAGTTATGAGCACCTATTGGCCCTATTTGTAGAGTATACCGCTCAAACAGTAGGTAAGTGGAGCCACAGGTCAACCTAAACCAGAACGGCTGAGGCCTGTCGGGACCACGGCATCGGGACAGTTTCGGATAGGGAGTACTCAATGTCAAGGTTCTCAGAATCGTATTCTGCATGCGTAACCTTTAATAACCATCCCAAGTCCTAGACCGTCTGGACCCTAAGCTGTTTTTCAGCACTGCGGAGGCCAGGTCCGAAGATTCCCCAAGAAAGGGGGTAAATCAACTTGGCTTGAATCCCGGCGTAAGCCCTCCCAGACCTATTGAAACGGGCGTGGTGAAGGAGCTATCTCCTTGGAAAGCATCGCCTTACAAGCGATCGCGCCACCCTGCGTGCTGCGGACAGATTTGTAGTTTCGTTTACGGCTACAGGCACTTCAAGGGTCAGCTTGCATCAGTGACATTCTGCACGGGATGGGCTTTGTGACTGTAGTGTCAATGTTCTCGCCACGGGACCCTGCAACTGAGGGCATAGCAACTGGAGCTCCAAAGTGTTGACTGTATGTGGAGCTTTCCGGGCTATGGAATGTGGAGGCAGGCTCATCCAATTTCTCTACAAGGTACCCGAGGTCGTTGAACTGTCGAATATGCTTGGGTTCCCTGTGTGCTCGAAAGCACCCTGACCAGCTAAGGTGCGTCGACGAGTCTTTGCTGCTAGCATCTGCGACCTACCGCCATGTTGTGGCACTTCTACGGGAGGCTCCATAGTAGGGCCATAAACCCCATAAATCCCCACCGTCAGCCCCAAGTCCCAAGCGCCCATTTTTGCCATTTGTTCAGGCTGCAGAGAAAGGACAGCCCTAGTCATGGTTACCTTCGCAAATGTGCACATCCGGAAACGGGCACCGAGTGGCGCACAAGCATTAAATCAGCTTCTTGATCAACTCCTGCGGCCTCTCATCGGGGCAATAAGTGCATGCCATGCAGGCTCTAAGCCTTCCGCTTCTATGTTCCGGGGCTATATTCCAAATCCTCAAAAGCCCGAAGTCTTTCGGGTTTCTTTCGCAAGGTCTTCGGCGTCGTCGTTGGCTACTCCATCGTGAACCTGCCTCTTGGACCCTTACGGTAGGTTTCTTAATCAGTTTCCTACATTATTATAGTACCCTTATACATCCCTTATAGTAACCCTTGTAGTAAGTGCGCTTTCCTGAGCCTCGCCAGGTCGTGGGGGTTGTGGTGGGGTTGGCCTTTGCAGATACAGCGGACACAACTTGTTACGGACTGGAAGCCCTTTACCGCATCCTCCCCGGTCAGTGAACCCTGCAGCTTTACACTATCCGCTCACTGCGCGCTGAACATGTGGGCATTGGACTCGGTTGGAGCTTTTATTGGTCATCCGTTTTCAGATGAGCATAGGTGCCGTAAAGGGAAAGCGTCAAACAGAGCCACCCACACTTCACATCTGGCCGTCCTTGCGGGCAGTAGTACAGAAGCATGCAGCTGAGTCTAAACCATAACTTCCTTAAGCCTTGAACACAGCTGAGGTATGCAGATGGAGAAGACTGGACAGATGCTTGGCAGCTCCGTCGGATGCGAATATGCCTCCACTAGTTGTTGCTGTTGGGGGGGTGGGGCGGGGATTGCGCTGGTTCGAAGTTCGAGGTGTGCATCAGCGTTGGGCGATGTCGTCCTGTTCTATTTAACTCGTAAACTCCAAGAAACCCGCGGCAAGCACCTGAACTCCAAAATCCTAAACTCCAACACCCCTAAACCCTAAACCCTTAAACCATAAAATCCTAAACCCTAAACACTTACACCATAAAATCCTAAACTCCTAAACTCCTTTACGCCCCAAACCCTGGGACTCGAAGATTCTCCATGCCAAAGCCTGAGCCTTCCACACGAGCATATGAGGCACTCGGAGCGTATATAAAGGTACCTTACTTGGGGCTCCTGGGGATAAGAGACGATGGCTTAGATGAGCGTCCATGTGGGAGTTTCCGAAAATAGGGGACCCTAATATAGTACCCTAAATAGTGGGATCCTTATTATAAGGTCCCCCAAAATGAGGTACCCCCTCTACGCCCATAAGCAAGTACGGTATATTATCTGGGGCCACAGAAACTGCAGCCTGCAACTTAGTTCGCGGCGTTTCCATTGCAAACTAGAAAAGACCGGGATCCAAACCGTATGTCGTCCGTCTCAGGAGTACCATCACGACAACAACCCTACACCCTAAACCCTGAAGCCATGCCTGCCTGTGTACGAATGTGTGAGTCGAAACCCTGCGGCCCATTCATCCTAAAGCTTTGGCCCATCTGTTTGGCAGCAACGTTGTGAATATCGCTTATCTTGCACTAATCTCTACGCAGGAATACCATCGTGACAACTACAAGTCGGAGGGCAACCGGATTGCTGCAGCTGGCTCAACGGCAGCTCACGACGTGACGATAGGGGCCGGCCCTGTAGGTTTTTTCTTGTTTCAACTTGGTGCTCTGGAACCTCTTCTAGGGTTGACTAATGGTTTAGGGCTTTAAACCCTTCTGTTTCGAAGTTTGGGTTCGCGGGTTCAAGCCATTCTGGTTACAAGCCCAGTGGGCAAGCTCTGTACTGATCTTGCACACCCAGTTCGATATTATTCTATCATGTTAAGGTAGTAGACAGACCAAGAATAAGTCGATCCACCCGGATTTCACCGCAGCAGTTTGGTAGGCCAGCTTCGGTGCGCCGAGGGAGTTGAGGCCCGTCCGAGTTGCTGTCTGGTTTTTTTTGAGGTTGGGGTGTAGGGGAGTGGGATGGGGTTGCGATAGAGGTGTACTTCCTACTGTTTTGGATTGCTTCTGGGGGTTTGGGGGCCTTGTCTGACAGCTTTTTAGGATGCAGACCTTCAGTTATGGGAGCTTGGAAAGGGCTGTCTTGCAAGGATTTGCCTGAGCCAGTCAACCCTCTTCAGCCCCAAACAGTAAGCCGCACCCAAAGCCCTGTACGTCTCCCTCATAGGCAGGCGACGTTATTCATAGGATCTGCACGCAGCGTGTCGTGCGATCCCTGAAGGTTCAAGCACCTGGAGACAGGCCTTGAGTTTGGCTTTCCGCAGACCAATGGTGCGGCCCCAAGCTCACAACCGAGGTTTAGTGTGGGGGCTTTAGTAACAAATCGCTGTAACAGCGCATAGAAAACCATCAAACCCTGTAAAGGCCATATAGCCCATTACGAGCCTACTTTAAACCTATATACACTTGGTGGCCGTTTCGGGGATTTTTAATTTTTTGGTGTTTTGTGGGGTTCATTGCATGCAACCAACTGCAGCCTTCAGGCTCGAGGGGTCAGACCAGGCATCAATCCAACCAGGTGTTTCCAGTGGGAACCCCTGGTTAGAATTGATGCCTGTCGGGGGATGCACGGACATCCCTCACCCTTGCAAGATGTCTGTGGTCCCACCACCGACATCTTGCAGGGGTGAAGGATGTGCGTGCATGAACCCCGACCGAGGCCCCAGCGTGCATGGATAGAGACATCCATCACCCCCGCAAGATGTCTGTGGTCCCACCACTGGCATCTTGCGGGGGTGAGGGATGTCCTTAACCCGTGCCGCCATGTCTTCATGGACTTCGTCGTGATCACTCTTCGGCTGTGGCCGCAGCCGCAGCCTCAGGGGAGGGGGGCAGGGCGACCACAATAATCATAGTATTATACATAATCACCTGCCGACGGCCGCCGCGGCTCTTCGAAGACAAGCCGCTTGCATGCATGCCTAGAGTGTTTGCTCACCACATGCAATCAGAGTCAGCTGCTTTGACTTGCGAGTGTTGCCACTGGAGTGTTTGCCGAGGACCACATGCGATGACAGTCAAGCGGCTTGCCTTCACGAAGAGCCGCGGCGGCCGTCGGCAGGTGTTCAAAACCTCAGTGGAACTGACTGAAACCTGGGAGCCTAAAGTGCCTGGGAGCCTAAAGTGCCTGGGATACTGCATGCCTAGAGTGTTTGCTCACCACATGCAATCACAGTCAGCTGCTTTGACTTGCGAGTGTTGCCACTGGAGTGTTTGCCGAGCACCACATGCAATGACAGTCAGTTGCTTTCACTTTAGGCTCCCAGGCACTTTCGGCTCCCAGGCACTTTAGGCTCCCAGGTTTCAGTCAGTTCCACTGAGGTTTTGAACACCTGCCGACGGCCGCCGCGGCTCTG